ATGCTCAACACATCATCCAACTCATATTACAACGACTCTATAAGAATACCCAACATGAGCAAACCATTGGCCTTTGGCCTCAACCTTAGCAAGAAGCCGGGCACGTCGAAGCCCGCTCCACCAAAGCGAAGGCCTATGTTTGGCGACGATGATGATTCGGATAACGACGGTGCCGGCGGGGAGGGTAAAGCTGAAGAGATTGGAGAATTCGATGACTTTGGTCGCGCTCCAGAGACAAAAACGAATATCACGAAATTGGGCAAAGCAAAGGGTGGTCCTCCGACTCAACCCCCGAAGCTCAAATCCAAGGGTCAACCGAACACGATGTTTGGGGATCTCTCCAGCTCTCTGACCTCCCGGAAGAATGCAGAAGCTGCCGCCGAAGTCGATGCTAGCGTCTACGAGTACGATTCTGTTTACGATTCTCTCAAACCAAAGAAACAGGCTACGAAGGAGGATCAAGAAAAACGGCCAAAATATATGAAAAACATCCTGCAGGCAGCTGATGTACGGAAGCGCGACGCACTGATTGCGGAGGAGAAGAAAATTGCCCGGGAGCGAGAGGCCGAAGGGGAGGAATTTGCCGACAAGGAAAAGTTTGTCACAGAAGCATATCGGAAACAACAGGAGGAGAATAAGAGGCTTGAAGAGGAAGAAAGGAGAAGGGAAGAGGAAGAGGCAAAGAAGAACAAGGACGGCGGCATGTCCGCTTTCTACAGAAAACTTCTCGATAAAGATGAGCAAAGGCATTCCGATGCTGTCAAGGCGGCTGAGGAAAAGGCCAAGCACGGCGCACCCGAGGAAGAAATTGCAGATGACGACGAGCAAGAGAAGGAGAAGACAGAGGCCGATATCGCCAAGGAGCTCAACGAGAAGGGCGCTGCAGTTGCCATCAACGAAGACGGTCAAGTGGTCGACAAGCGCCAGCTTCTCAGGGGTGGCTTAAACGTTGGCGCAAAGAAGAAAGAATCAGTCCAACGCGAAGCGGAACGACCAGCCGAGCGGCCGCGGAAGGATGTCACAAATCAGCAGTATGGGAGAAAGCAAGCTCAACGAGAACGACAGTCACGCATGATCGAGGAGCAGCTCGCGCAGTCAATGAAGCGATCACGAGATGAAGAAGCGGCACAAAAAGAAGAAGTTGAGCGAGCAGCGAAGAGCCGTAAGACAGAAGGCGAAATCTCAAGCGCGAAGGAGCGATACCTAGCGCGAAAACGAGCGGCCGAAGAAGCGAGAAAGGCCGCTGGAGGAGCTTAGATACCCAAACTCAGGAAGTGAAGAAGGTTGTATAGAACGACATAGCATGGCTTTTGACATAACATCCCAGTCATATCTCCTCCAGCTCGTCTATTGCCCTGTTCTATCCTTAATCGGTTCTTCGTACATGATAATATCTCCTCTTAGGCATCATCCGACCCGTGTTGTCACAATATGTTACAATCCTGCGCTTTTATAAACATTGTCGCAAACCGTTGGTTTTTTTATTTTGAGAATCTTCGCTTCTTTAATTCTGCAAGCTAGCAGATTCTTGCCTTAATCGGGCGATGTAGGCAGCGTTGACCATGTTCCAAGCGGCCATGTACTTCTCCATGCAACTGGTCATGCAAGTCGTCTCGCCGCTCGATAAAGAAGTTCCGGGCTTGGGGACGCACTTCTCAAAGCAGGTCTCTTGGAGTTTCTATCATGGGACAGTATTAGCCTTGGAGCGCAAGGTGAGGAATTGCGAAATAGGCGTACCTCAATGAGAGTGCGGGCGTTAACCAGGTTGGCCTCCTGCTGGACCTGCTTGATGACAGCAGCCTTGACTTGTGTGGAATCCATGGTTGTGATGTTTGGTTTAGACAGTTGTGACGTTGTCGGTCATGAAGCAAAGCTTGGGCGCCTGTCTATCGCAAAAACGTAGCGGGCTGGAAAAACCAACGGTCCGGGCAGGGTGGACGCGGCTCAGCAGCTACTTCATTGAAATCAAACCCAGCAGCTTGTACGAGTCAATGGACGTTGATATTGGTTCTGGGTTTGGTAGCTAATGATAGTTTCACATTCAACCACTTAACCTCGAATTCTTGAGGTTTCTAGCTAAGTTTCTGTATTTCTCACAATCACATATTGGGATAGGTATCCATATCCAGACATGACAGGTTTTGTACCCTGCATGTACACCAATGATGTTACCATTACAAGCAGAGAGCATGTGTTGGGCGTTAAGAGCCTTAGTTGTAGTTGAGGCCCGTTTCCTGTACTGTGAAACACCCTGAGTTTTCTCCTCGAGATACCACATTGATATCCCCGATGTTGACCTGCTTGGTTACAAGTCTGGTATAGATGTCCTCTGGCCTTGAAACATAACGTCCAACCTAGGCGGCATCGGAAGTAGTGCTGATCTCCAGTCTGCCCGGATCTGTTATTCCCGAAACTGACGGTGCTGGCTCTGGCGTGGGGCTTCCGAACACGCCCACGTCGTCAGTTTCATGTCTTCCCTGTGAACAGAAACTGCAGCAATTTACGCTGAGTGAGGTCTTGGGATTTTCACTCCTCTCCAGTGCCCGAAGTGGTGACCTTTCTCGTTATATGTCATCCGGAGATGTTCGAGTTGGAATCTCGCCAGCCACTGGGCCACTTTCGAATTCCCTCCAGATTCATTTGTATGGGAAACCGAAAAATAGGTGCTCCTGTCAAATCCAGGAGCTAGACGCTTCTCATCCCCCCGGTTCCCTCAGCTTCATCGCGATCTCGCACTCTCCCTACACCTTTTCCCAGCGCTTCCTTGGCGCCGGGCCCGATCCAGTTGCCGTCCTCGCCGAAATATTCGTTTACGTTATCCGCTGTAATCCAACCGCTGCTACTAGGCATGGATAGGAGGGGGTTAGACCGCCATTGCTAGCACTGCGCAGAACGCCTGTGAAACCCTCGATGGCCTGATGCTCGTTACTGCCCTCGAACAGTGGGACTCGAGCCAGCCCTAGGAGAAACTGTTTACGGCGGACGGTGCCGTGTGTTATCAGAACGGCTACATGAGAGGGTTGGATAACGAATATGGAGACATGGATGTATTGCCAGACAAGACGTAAGTTGCAGCCAGTAGTACTTTTGAGGGCCTCAGCTCATGTTCCAGTTTAATGAATGTCAACAAACCGTCGGTCAAAACAACGACGTGAACCCACGCCTATGCGGCTCTATCGAAGTCGAAGATCTAGAAATATCCAATGAACGACAGGTCGTTTCCTACCCGAAAAGGACAAAGACCGGCCTTCTTCCACCCGGTGTCGCTACAGAAGTCTAAACAATCTGCCAAATTCACCATCGCATCTGGACCGCCAATCCGAGTCACGAGCCCGAAACCTTCTTTGAAACTCGGAAAATGTCGCTGGGTTGAGTTCATGACTTCCAGCAGCGTGATATCGGAGCTTGAGGAGCTCCGGGACATAAGCATATTGGTGTAGGGACTATTGCTTCCTCGATTCCGTCTAAGAAGCCGAGTCAAGCCGACCGGGCCATACATTAGTCGCCGCCTCCCGACATCAGTCCGAGTCAAGGTGGACACTATGATAAGCTCAAGATTTCCGTTTATCGTCGTTCATTGCCCAACGCCATCGCACATCGCTACAGAAGCATTACGGTCCTTATACCCATGACTTTCATCTCAGCAATTTATCTGTTCACATAGCCTGTTCCCTCTAGCTTTGTCACATCAGACGACAGATATACACAAGACTGGGGTTCGGCGGAACTTAACGTCCATCTCTTCTTGGCTAACAGCGAAGTTTACTGGACATCATGTTTGAGGAGCTGGAATTCAAATCACGACTGTCGGTGCCCTGCCTTACTGGGCAAATTCCCCCAGCCCAATGTGGACAAGTTGTGGTTTTCTTCTTCAAGACCAAGCACAAGGCCCAGAACTCAATAAAAAAAAAGAGAGAGGTTGCGAGACTGAAAGTCAAGCGTGAGGTTTCAAAAAATTGTTCACATGGATAGCCCGAAGCCCGAAGGATACAACAGACAGACCCTTGGCAGAAGAAGCTACTCAAGACTACCAAGAAAGAGAAGCAAAGCCTATAGGTTCCAAAAATTGTGATACTTGAGAATGGTCCCCCCCTCCCCCGGTTTGACCCGGGGTAACTCACATTCAACAAGAGGAGCATGAGAAGAAAAAGAAGAAGAACATCAACAGACGGAAGCCGAGGATTTTGTAGTGCCCCAATTTCTGCCACTGATCTGGCAGTCAGCTGGAGGTGCCTTCCGTTTCTCTGCTACTGATCTCTTGCGGGGCAGCTGGCGGACAGGCTCCTTCCCTCTCGACGCTGGTCCTCGGGCTCTTTCCGTCAAAGCGGAAGGAATTTGCTCGCCAGCTACCATACTAGCGAGCTTCAGCCTGGGTAGGTATTTCTAATCGTGCGAGATGGCAAGGCTGTACAAAATATGTATTGCTGAAGGGCAATGGGATGATCTTTCCGTTGCACCCTCTTCCTTGTGGATGACTGGCATACAACCCTGTTTGGGCACCGCCTTAACCTACCAATTATGGCTCAGATAAGACAGGTAAATATATATTATCTTAACAACGTTGTAAGCACCTCGGGTTGATGGCATTCTTGGTCAAGAGGAGTATGTACTTGAGAATGAACACCATTTTTTTAGGGAGGGGGGTTTTCACTATTCGAACCCTGCTGGTGACATCCGTATTTTTTATTTCTTTTTTCCCTCCTCCCCTTTTTTATGGAAGTAGGGTAAGCTAATACAAAGAAAGTAGAAAAACTGTAGAGGCGAAAAGCCAGTGAAGCCAATTCTGCAGCGAGGTCCCAATAACTGTCGAGGGTGGGCTAGTCAGAACACCCGACGGGACAGCCAATACCAAGACATCGGATAACGGTATATGTGCGTGAGAGTACCGTCATACATTCTTATAGGAATATATCAGAGCAATTCCGACTTGTGTTGGAATAAAGTTATATAATTTCATATAGAAAATCGATTTTACTATACGGTCTACCCGACCCTTCAAAATGGTTCTCAGCACAATGCATGCCTTGACCCAACGGATGGTCAGTCTTTTCTTAACTATTATGAAATCCTAATACTGACGCTTTGCAGTCCAGGCTTTCGACCTAAACCTCTTTGGCAACGGCGCTGTGCTTGGTTGTGACTTCACAGGCAAAGTCGAGCGTCTTGGTAAAGAAGTTTCCAAGATAGCAGAAGGCGATACGATTGCCGGCCTTCTTTGGGGTGGTAAGCTGAACATCACCATGCCTGCATGCCACGGCTGATATAAAATGATTAGGTGAAGTTAAAGGTCTAGGAGCGTTTAGTGAATACACGAAGGCCCATGAAAGTATCTGCTTTCGAGTGCCCAAGAACATTTCACTCCGAGAGGCTGCTACTGTACCGCTAGCGTCTATAACGGCTTGGCTTGCCTTCTTTTCGAAAGATTGTCTTGATATTGACCGTACTAAATCGGACACTGTTGTCTTGATTTGGGGCGGAAGCTGTAAGTAATCTAGCTGCTCATGCTTCGAACGAAGCGTTGACATGAACCAGCGAGCGTTGGGCAATACGCCATTCAGATTGCAGCAATTTTTGGGTTCAAGATTGCCACAACTTGCAGTCCTTGTCAGGTCACTTGGGGCAACCCATGTATTCGATTATAACGATTCTGATGTGGTGAAATCGATCAAGGATACCGCCCCTGGTTTGCAATATGTGTTCGACGCCATTGGCAACAAAATGTCTTCCACCACTGCATCTCAAGCCATTGATGAGAATGGTGGCACCCTCACTACTGTCAGGCCTGATAAGAGCTTCACTGAAAATGTGACGAAGCAGACCAAAGTCACACCCGTGCTTGTTTGGACCGCTTTCAACAGAGTTATCCAGTACAAGAAGGCTCAGTTTCCTGTAAGTGCCTCAATTGCACCGGTGGCCGAAACTGATAGTATTATAGGCAAGCGAAGACGATCACAAACTCCGTGCCGAATTCAATGAGAAACTCCCTGTGTGGATTGAGGAGGGCAAGATCAAGCCTAACAAACCAAAAGTTATCCCTGGTGGGTTGGACGCTGTTGTGCAAGGGTTTCAGGAGTATCGGGATGACAAGATTTCTGGTTACAAGCTCGTGTATGAACTCTGATTTGCTTCTGATTCTCGGGGGTGAATAAATTTCCCATATCGATACAGCATAACCATGGTCATTAGCAGGTAAGTAAATGGTTAATAGGGGCTGAGAGGTTGTGTGATGGGACCTAGGACATCGTGAAATAAATATATGCATGTGAAAAAAAATGTGGCTATTATGTGGCTTTAAAGTTTCATCAAGGGTCAAGTGGCAGGGGTTCCAGCGTCCAGAGTGGGAAAGTACCTGCAGTGGGGAGCACTCACCTAAAATCGTTACGGCCATGGGCAGAGGCTAGAGGAAGAGGACACTTGTGCTAGCTCCTGTCCCGATTAACATCCCCCTACATTTACCCGTAACGTCACAACGACTTTGACAACGACCACTGTGGTCAATTTCTTCCTACTCCAGCATCAAACCTCGCGATCTTGTTGCCGCATCCTAGAGCGGTTTGCGCCCATATCTAGCCAGCTTGAATTGGCCCCTTACGAGAGAAAGAGCCGGGAATAGACACCATCATAATATAGCTTCATCATGCGGTTGCCCTCACTATCAGCGGCGCTCCTTGGTGCGCTCGCATGGACTGCCCGCGCTGATGATCTTGACGATAACATCAGGAGTATTTCGGTATGCGCTACTGCCTTCTTATGGCTGATCGTCTTGAGCTTCTTTGCTAACGTTCTTCACTCTCTAGCTCAGGACGCATTCCTTGACCCAGGTTAGTTGCGGCGCACGCGAGCAGACTTCCACAGATCGACAGTTTAATTAACTCTTTTACTCGAACAGCCCTACCTTGACTCGGACATGCAAAGCCGCTGGTACGACTTTGGCGGAGATACCATTATTCGAACCGATTCGTATGCACCCTCAATTCGCTGACAACGACATACTTCGGACATGGGTTGACTTGTTACAGGTACATCCGACTTACTTCGGATCGTCCATCGCAGTCAGGGTGGATGTATTCGCGAGTTCCCCTCACTGCAACAAACTGGCAGGTCGAGGTTGAATTCAAGATCTCGGGCAAGAACCAGCTCTATGGAGACGGTTTTGCTATGTGGATTACCCGCCAGCGTGCGCAGCAGGGTACTGTCTTTGGAGGGCCCGACAACTTCGAAGGCCTCGGAGTGTTCATCGACACTTACAAGAACAACCGTCCTGGCGTTGTCTTCCCCTATGTCATGGCCATGTACGGCGATGGCAAGACCTCTTACGACAAGTCCAACGATGGAAAGCACACCGAGCTCGCTGGCTGCTCTGCGCGTGGTATTCGACATGCGAGTGTCCCTACCAAGATGCGCCTCACCTACTTCCAGGACAAGCAACTCAAGCTGGAGCTCCAGTACAAGGTTGAGGATGAGTGGCAGACATGCTTCGACCTCGAGGAGCCCCCGGCCATTCCCAACATTGCCTATGTCGGTTTCACTGCTGAGACTGGTGAGCTCAGCGACAACCACGATATCATCTCGGTGTCGGCCAAGAACCTTTACACTCAACCTGGAACCAGCAACACTGGCAAGTCATCTGGCACTAAGAACAAAGCTCGCAAGGGCACCGGTAAGACCACCAACGGCAACAAGCAGGGCGGCAGCTGGACATGGTTCTTTACCAAGATCATCCTGTTCATCATTGTTGCTGGCGGTGCTTATGTTGGCTACACTGCCTACCGAGCCAAGGCCAAATCGCACAGGTTCTAGGCTGGTGAAATAACTGAATACGAATGGCGCCAGCGCCTGAAATGAAGGGACGGGAACAAGTTGATGAGACAAAAAGTCTCCGCTTAAACAGCAACTTTCAGCTTTCCTTGAATCTTTTATATCTGTGTTTTTGAGTAGGGAAGAGGCGATGAGAAGGGTACAAGCCGGTGAGCATTGTGACATACCTGTGATACGAAAATCAATCTATTCTTTTGCTGTGTTATGAACGCTGTTTCCTAATTCGAATGATCCTGCTTTCAGAATCTGCGTTCAGAAATTGACTTTGTAAGGGAGAGTTGTGAGTGGAGGGGATGCTTTACGTTGAGCGATACTACCGTTGGTATCGTAAACCGTGGACGGACACATCGTCCGTAGACCAGTAGGGACGAATTGATCGAGCTTTTTTTTTTTTTTTTTTTTTTTTTTGCAGCAGCAGCAGCAGCAGCAAAAAAATACACCTCCACAACCAATGATCAATTAATAGGTAAGTTCAAATTAGCTTGTTGGAGAATCGTCGATGGTTTCTGAAAACGGCGAACTTCAGGGTAACTAACTTTCTTAGACATAGGTAATAGACACAGAGGCAAGCTCATAGCCATGAATTGGTCACAATATCACGACTGAGTGAACTTACTGTCCACTGTCGAAGCCAGTTGATCAGATTTGGACATATTTGAAACATCAGGAAAGACGAGAGGTTTTGAGCTAACTGCTGATAATGAAAAGGGTTGCCCTCAATATGTACCCATAACGGTTAAAATACTACTAATTTATGATGTTGAAAGACAAACTGGTTTGAACGAATTAGCAAGATAGGAACTTGAGTTCAGAAAAAAGATACAGCCCCTTTTGGTATAAGTAGAACAAAAACAAACCTCAGACAATAGATATAGCTGCACTTCAGACCTTGATTTCATGCAAAGCACAGTGCAACACCAGATCAAAATGTTCAGATAACATAGATTCCAAATATCCGAATTATTAGTGATTAAACTGAGCACAAAAAGAGATACAACATTCCACTGCATTCAGGCACACGAGAAATCATCTCATCTAGATAATCACTACACGTTCCAGCGGACGCACTAATCCTGAGCCGGGAGCTTGATTGAGTTATATCTGGTGTCAAGGAAGCTTTTTGAGTCGGTGTTGGTCTAGTTGATCATCCACTCGTACAAAAGCCCTCTCTCCCTTTCCATTATCTCTAATAACCTAGGTAACCTCTAACACAGGAAGCTCCCGTCGGTTCACGGATCATCCACCCCGCCTTTGACTCGCGACAGCCCACTTTCTCTCTGTAACTAGCGACGCCAAGCGCCAAATACTCTTCCAATGTCAAGATAGTAGTTCCATCAGCTCTTTGCCGTACTTCGTTGTGCTGTGTTGTTCTCCTTTGCGCTGTAGCTTCTGATGTAAGCTTTTGAAACACCCACTAACCGACCGGATCCTGCTTGTCTCTTTTGTCTTTGCTGAGTGCTTTCTCCCTTCCATTCCAATCCGATCTAGTGAGATCCCTCTCATACAGGGCGCCAACCCTCTCAGCTGTCTCGACTTTTCCTCATTTCAGCTCATCTTGTTTGGATCTACTCAATTCACCTCTGATTACTTTCATCTCATTTGGATTTGATCTTCTGCACATATCATCCCCATCTCCATCTCCATCATCGTCATCGTCCAACAGTCTCATCTTATTGCCTGACTCAACTGCATACTATCCTACATATCGCCGAGTACTCGCTGTCCTTTGTCTTCGGTATTCCCACTTCTACCAAAGCCTCTACTAAAAACATCGACATCATCACATTGCTCTCTATGCTCTGACCTAGCCCGTGTCATTCTCGCTACACCCACGGATACTGCGAGCTACTACATGCTAGACTTTGCAGATCAGTCAACCAATTGCCGCTAAAGAGATATCGTCTCGACAAGCTGACGCCTCGTCTTGGACTCGAACGGACAAAAAGCACCGCAAGCGAGCTCACAAGAGCGAAGAAACCTGCATCAACAACAAGTCGCTACATCATCTTGCGCCTATCAGTATCAGCTCCCCCTGGTGTGCAATCGTTGATCCGATCATAAAAGAGGGGCAACTTTCGTTGTGGGCGAAGCTCCAACTACTACATCATCACCAGCCTGCTTAAACCTTGTACTGTTACTAGCTTGCTTGAGGTGTGCCTTGTCCTGGCTTGCCTTGCCTTCACAATCATTCATATCACATTGACTTGTGCGAATATTTTTGATCACCCCCAGTTAGACGGGCTCAGTTTTGGTTTGGCTGTTTAAACGGCGAAAAAGCGAAAACCAAAGCATCGTCCAACGTACGGAACTTCTCAAACGAGGGATCTTTGGCTATTCGTATCCTATCCCTCTACCTTTGCCAGCCACCAGATAGAGCCAAGGAATAGCATCAGCCATCCAATTGCCGGCCTCGGGTGGAATGCGCCAAGAGTCCAAATCCTTTGTTCACTTACGAAACCAAAAAAAACAAAGCCCAGGTTCTCACCACCGACCATTGTCTTTATTCTTCCTGTCCTATCCATGCATGCTTGTTAAACCCATAGCTCTGGTTACCGTTGTTGGCCTAACATCCGAGTGAGCTGAAAGAGAGCTCCCCCACAGAAAAGACAGGCCAGTCTTGAACAGACCAGACCAGACCAGCACGTCAGTTTCCAGCCTCTCCCCACTATTACGGTGCTGTACCTGAACTTGAAGGAGCTCCAATTGCAAGGTTAGCTCAGGCTAGGTTGCACCAGGCGAGCTCACTGACCTCTTGCTGGTCCTGGAGAAGCAAACGTGCTCAAATCCTTCCAACTTTGCCGTCTCATCCATTTGTCACACTCTCTATTATCTCTCTGTATCTGTCGTCCTCTTCTCAATCAATTGGAGAGCTCTCAGTAAGGCATAACGCAACCGGATATCCCACAATTGGATCCATCTACACCCACCACAAACCAAGCCGAGAAGCTGGGCTGGTAAACTGACCTGTTCCGTCCCGTTCGATCGATCTGCAGAGAGTGTTTCCTCATCTTTGGGTCCATTCTACCGCAACCACCACCACTCCTACCTACTACCTACCTATCTCTCAACCCCTCCCCGCTTCTCTTGCAATTCTCTCCCCCCTCTCTTTCTGTCGTCACACTATTACTACCCTATGCCTTCACTGGGGTTTCTCAAGAAAAAGCGGACCAGAGAGGGCAACTCTGACCCTTCTGCCTCAAGTCCAACTAGTCCAGTTACTCCTACCACCTCCAGGTCCAAGTCCATCTCTAAAGCTTTTCACCTGCCTCGAACAAGCAGGCAATCCACCTCAGCCCCAAGTGCTCAACCAACCAACGGCCAGAACCAGCAGCAGCAACAACAACAACAACCCGATCAGATTCCGGAAGGTACCGTGCCTCAATCGGATCAATCTTCTGCGCCGAATCAGCAGGCGACAGGAGCTACTGACGGACAACAACAAGAAGATATGAGCGCAATTAACCTCCATCAACCCTCATACGGTGCAGGCAGTCCTATGAATCACGATCATCAAAACCTACCTAGCATCAACAACCTTATCAACCCGCCCCAGCAACAGCAGCAGCACAATGCTCAGGACAATTCCTACAACAACGGCCAGACCAACCCGCAGTATCTAGCCGCCACGATAGATAGCCATCGACCGCAGACCGTCAGTCCCGGAACTGATCCCGCAGCCCTCCAACAGCAGCAGCAGCAGGCTCTGCCACAGCCGAGTATGCCTCCGCAGCAACAGCAACAGTCGCAGGCGCAGCAACAACTCCAGCAGCCATCTCAGCAGTTCCAGCAACAGCAGAACCAGAGTCAGAATCAAGCGCAACAGCAACAGCAGTACCAACACCAGCCGCACCACCAACAGAACGCTAGCACCGGTTCAGTCATGCGCGTAACAAAGGGGAAATACTCGTTGGGTGACTTCGATATCTTGAGGACGCTTGGAACTGGTAGCTTCGGCCGAGTACATTTAGTCCAATCGAAGCACAACCAGCGTTTCTATGCAGTCAAGGTGCTCAAGAAGGCCCAGGTGGTCAAAATGAAGCAGGTCGAACATACCAATGACGAACGTCGCATGCTAGCTGACGTCAAGCACCCTTTCCTTATTACCCTCTGGGGCACGTTTCAGGACCCAAAGAACCTCTACATGGTGATGGATTTTGTTGAAGGTGGAGAGCTCTTCTCGCTTCTGAGGAAGTCGGGAGTAAGTTTTATATGAGTTTCGCCAAAACTCAATTGACCTGACTAACACGTTGCAGCGTTTCCCTAACCCCGTTGCCAAATTCTACGCCGCGGAGGTCACTTTAGCTTTGGAATACCTCCATTCAAAGAACATCATATACCGTGATCTCAAGCCAGAAAATTTGCTACTCGATCGACATGGCCATCTCAAGATCACAGACTTCGGTTTCGCGAAGCGAGTGCCTGACAAGACTTGGACTCTGTGTGGTACACCGGATTACCTAGCTCCTGAAGTGGTCTCTAACAAAGGCTACAATAAATCCGTGGATTGGTGAGGACTTGCAACTGGTGATGGAACAGAAATGGACTAACATGTTTGGCGTATCAGGTGGTCCTTGGGTATCCTGATATACGAAATGCTTTGCGGTTACACACCCTTCTGGGATAGTGGATCTCCAATGAAGATCTACGAAAATATTCTCAAAGGCAAAGTTAAATATCCGGCATACGTCAATGCGGACGCTCAAAATCTTCTGGAACGTCTGATCACAGCCGACCTCACAAAGCGATTAGGTAATCTCTACGGAGGTCCAGATGACGTGAAGAACCATCCTTGGTTCGCCGAAGTCACCTGGGATCGATTAGCTAGGAAGGACATTGACGCACCTTACACACCACCGGTCAAGGCCGGCGCCGGAGACGCGAGTCAATTCGATCGTTACCCTGAGGATCCTGAGAAGTACGGCCTCGTTACGGCACCAGATGAGTGAGTGATCATTTGCAGTCTCGATTAATTAGTCAAGCTAACCCTTTGCAGATACGGTCACATGTTTACGGAGTTTTAAGAAAGTGTTTGAGAGCGAATTATGGATGCACTTGTATGACTAGGTTGGAAACAGACCTCTCTTGATGCAATCAACTTTGGGTGGGCGTTCATGCTGGTGCGCTTTACTCTTGGATATGAGATTCTGGAACTGTGTTATTTGTCGTTGGTTCATGTTGCACGCAATTGCACGATTGGGGGAATGAAAAAGAAAGCTCCTGGGAATATCTGGTTGGAGAGTTGGTTGGCTGTTGGTTGATGAGCTCGGGCTGGGAAACCAGGTGAACATATCCTATGCAAGTAGGCCACAGAATAGCCTTGAACGAGTATCAGTACTACGGCATCCTTATACTAAGTACCTACAATATGTGTAACTCGTCTCGGTGATTGTTGATAGATCTTTTATTGCTCATGAGGTCGCGCAATTGATGAATATGTGCAGTTCCATCGATATTTGCAGTCTATCAACGTGGCTATGACGTTTCCTCCTCAATTCTGCTTCATCTTCCTTCGCTGTGATTGAATGGCTCACCAAGTTCCGTTTCTCCACTCAAGAACGGGTTCGGGTTCCTCTTTTTAGTGGCGCTAAGTAAAGCTGGGGTTGGGTTTTTGGGAGCGGCCGCCATCAATCTCTGAAGGGACGGACCGCTAAGAGAAGGTCCTCCGTCGTTGCTGCCTCTTTCAAACAAAATATTGAAAAGTCACGAGGTTGGGATTGATAACACTCGCTTTAAGCAAGACAAGAAGAGGCCTTTCCTTTCAATTAACCAGCCCATTTAATCATTGACCTTTGTTTCGACAGATCAGAACCGAATTGTCCATTTCTCGGTCCCAACTTTATTCAATGTCACTCTGACATTTGATTCAGCCTCATCCAATACCTGGGTACTCACAATCCCTGCCATATTGTTATACCTACCTCTAAACTCACCGATTCTTCTGCTTCTCCCTTTTCTTCTCTCTTACCAAGTTGTACATTCACATCTCGACCGAGTTCCCCAAAAAGCCCCTCGCCAAGCTTTGACTAGCGAGCTGCAAGGCCCAAGACGGGCAGCGAATCCGGTGGAGGTGGCTTTTTTAGGACAAGTGAGAGATCTATTTCAATCAATTAAACAACAGCAGTCTCTGGATACCTACAGAGAGATACTTCTATATCTACCGCACACCCAGCATCTGAGCTCGGGTTCTTGCATCGTGGTCGCAATGGAAGACTATTTGTTTCGACATTACGTTGATCAGTGTCGCGTTGTCAAAGAAGAGACGAGCTATATCCAGGTTTTCAATTATTCGGTTTGTCTCGAATGGACTTTATAGCAAGAACTTTATTTGCTAATGGACTCACCAGGATCCGTTCTACGATGTCTGCGAGGAACACCCCTTGCCCGATGGTGAATTTGACAACTTTCTTCATCAAAGGGTAAGTAAATGTTTTTAAACTGTAAAGCATCTCAAACCACAGGACTCGATTGACAAGGATAGGGTGCCTTTGCGCCGCCAGATCATCTGAGGTCTGGCACTAAGCTTCTCAGTGGTGTTCGAATAATGTGAGATTCAAAGTCGCAAAATATCGAGATAGAGCACACTAACACCGCCGCCAAGAGTTCAAAAGAACGCCAAGCATCCTGATACGTTTCTCCCAAAGGTCATATCACTTCCGTCAGAGAGATATAGTTCCATGGTTCGTACCTTGAACTTGCCACGTCGAGGAATCGAAACGACTTCAGTAGTTGGTCCTTTTTTCTGGTCTGCTCATGACCAGGATGAAGATGATCCCCATTTGCGTGAGTTTCTTTTTCCCCAGGCTCCTAAACTTCATCAACTGACACCTTCTCAGAAATCGTTCACCGTAAATCGGATGTCCTCAAGAAGGGGAGAACAAGAGGCTGGGAGATGCTTCTCTCGCATTCCCTCAAGACCGGTGTCACCACCGGCTTCATTAAAGGCACTCCCAGCTCAGAAGTTGAAAAGTCCTTGACTCATCTCAAAGCATGTGCTAACCAAGTTGGACATCCCATGCTACTCCCTATTATCATCCTTACGTATGATCTATCTCCCGAAAATGACGAGAAACAGCGAAAGGCTCGGCACTGGCTTCGCCGTCTTGAAAATGCTGTGAGTTTGCGCAATGAAGTCGAGGAGCAGGAACAGTACTTTCAAAACGGATTTATCGATATCGATGGTCTGAGTCGTGATCTGGTTGAGTGCCATGGCAATGTCATGTGGAAACGACCTCAAGCATATGAAGCACTAGCCAAAGAGATGGAAAAGGCTATGGAAAACTTTCGTTTTGCTTGGATGACACTGGCTCCCGCAGCCGAGGAGCAAATTGAGGCTGAAAGAAAGCACCGCAAAGAAATTCAAAAATTGCATCGAAGTATGGCATCTCGTTTGGACTTTTACAAAGTTAAGCTCAAAGGCTTGGAGAATTACATTCATACAACTCTTGAGAGACTTAAGGTTCAGCGGGAAGCAGTAAGTCACCCTCAAACTCATCACAGGATGTTACTGATTTCTTGGATAGCTCTATAACATCATGTCACAGCGTGAAGCCAGACTGAATCTTGAAATTGCAGGAGAGCAGAGGCGAATAGCCCATGCTAGCAAGCGAGACAGTACGGCTATGAAGACACTGTCGCTCATGGGTGCCCTGTTTTTACCCGGAACATATCTCGCATCCGTGTTCAGCATGACATTCTTTGACTTTGGAAAAGGTTTGCTATGGTTCTCCATTATCTATTGCCGTTGCTAATATCCAAGCCCAGATGCCGACCCTGTCATTTCTGTGGAGCTTTGGGTATACTTTGCCATAACGGTTCCCATCACAGCGCTGATAGTCGGAGCCTGGATGTTTATCGACAAACGTCGCCAAGCGCAGCACAAAAAGGACGACGCAGACCTGGAGAAGAACATCGACAAGATGGAAAAGGAGATCATGTTTGCCCTCAGGAAGCGGACGATGAGTAAAGCCAATACCTGGAATACTGTCAGCCCACCTCCAAAGCCTTGAGGAAGAGCAAGCCATTGCTTGAAATTTTGATGCCATTATGGAAACTCTTGGCTACAACGCGTTTGACGACCCATGAACACATTTTGATGCCATTTGTGACGATATGGACGACTTTACTTCATAGATAGAACCAAGTTTGACGAACACGATGCATTAGATATATATGTTTGCCTATATAAATACGATACGTTGAAAATTTGAACGTCTTATGACAGTATCAATAGCTGCCTCCATGATATCCAGGTGGCATCCAGTATGTTTCCTCATGTCGGTCTTCGAATAAGAAATGACTTGGGCATGGACACGTCATTAAAACCCTAATTAGTCCTTCAACTCCATGACGGTTTATCCATACCGATTCTAGTAAGGAAAATAAGACAATATGAAAGCATAATAAAAACCAAAAGAGTTCTTGCTTTTCCCAAAAGACCTTGCGCCGCCTATGTATAGAAATGATATGGCTAGATACGAATCTGGCCTTCGCTAGAACCACCAAACCATCTACGAAAATCAGGCCCAGAGCTCGATGATCCAGCACCTGCAGTATCATCATCGCCACCCATCCACTTTGGCTTCTTGATATCGTTGAACCATTTAGGGGCTTCAATACCGTCCATGGTGTTTTTCATACGGTGGCCAATGATGGTAAAGAGGTTATCGTCTTCCGGCGGCTCGTCATTCCAATTTGCACCATAGCGATGCTCTGGACCACGACGGGCATTCGTAGTTGGAGCTCGAGCGGGAGATCGAGCAGGTGAAGAAGCGGCGCCACGGGCGGATGGTATAGACAGAATTGGGGCAGATCTGCCACCAGCTGTTCCAGCAGCCCCTATTCTAGCAAGAGCATCTTCTCTGCGATGAAAGAGGGTGTTTCCACCGAGTTCCCGAGAGATGAGATCTCGGCCTTCGCGCCAGGAGCCAGTGCCATAAGTGGTGCCATTCTCCTCTTCGTCGTCCATTACATCCATACCAACAAAGATTCGTTTGACTCGACCGTAAATGCCAAATAAGGTAGCAAAGACAGGGAATAGCACGACCACAGGGAAGAGGTCGTCAAAATAACGACCCAGTGGCGTGAAGTCGATGAGCTGCCCGAGAAAGTGATAAAAGACAGTCTTGTTGTAGACTTGACTCGAAAGGAAGGTGATAAAGTTGTAAGAGATAGGAATGGTCAGTTTAGCCACCTGCATCGCATACCAAAAAGCGGACTCATGAGCGGTATTACGTCGAACAAGAGCGCGACCCCGCCAGACTTTGACCTCAGTCATCGAAATAAGTGCCGCTGCACACATGTAGCAGATCCAGAATGACGAGATGGCTTGTCCAGCGAAGCCGACCTCAGGCTTGTCGCCAACCCAATGATGGACCACAGTTAATCTGATAATGGAAAGCTTGGGGAATGCAAACTTGACGACCTCAGACCAGACGATACAAGCTGACGCTGCTGCCAAGAATAAACCGAGAAGGACTTGAGCATAAGGCAAGATTTGGTAATAGTAGAGGTATCGAGTATATGGTGTCAGGATGACGGTCTTTTCCCAAAACGTTGCATGAGGTGACACTTCGCCAAAGTCGAGCTTTTTCGATGCCGCCGAGTCCAGGATCGCTTGGGTTTCAGCAGCCTCTTGAACAAGGTCACTCCAGGCGTTGACGTATCGAGATCGAGCGTGTCTGGCGCGCACATACTTCCTAGTGAGGTCGGCGAGATACTTTTCGGTGATGACATGTGGGATAATATTGTTATCAGAGCTGGAACCAAATCGGGTGCCTCGGGGTTGCGACTCAGGAAGATTAGCCATTTCTTGCAGTTCTTCAATCCAGTCTCGGTATGTGTTTGCGCTTCCTGTCTTGCGTCGGCCAAGCTCGGCAACCTGAACCTCAATATCCTCAAGTTTGGTAATCGAGTCCTCCATTTCTTCGTAAACCTTGGGCGCCTTGCTCTGGAGTCGTCGTAGTCGTCCGCTGATGCTTGCGCCGCGCATGAGTCGTCGAGGTATCGATACTAAGCCGTGACCCATGAGATAGATGGCGAGAATCAATCCCCAACAGTATGCAAGAGCCATAATAGTTCCCTTGATAACGTCGACCTTGAAGGAGAAGCCGGAGGAGATGACATAGTAAATGAGCCCGACGAAACCAAAACCCAAGACGATGGCGTGAAACTGGGCATTACTACGAACTGAGTACATGAATTTGTCGTATGGTTCTCGGTATCCAGAGTCGGAGTATTCGGCCAGAATCGGAAGAATAAACCTGGATATACTCGTTAGCCTCCAACGCGACGCAGTGCATCAATCAAACCATCATACCATGTCAAGGCAAATGTCAACCAATATGAAATGCGCCATGAAACAAGTATGACTCGCTCAGGTAGCCATATTCCCCTTGAGTCTTCATCACCAGTAACTGCGCTCGAGGCAAGATCGACCGGAACGAGGATCACGACAATGGTTGGTAGCCATAAGGCGAAGAAGATGGGAATGAGATAAAAGGCTGGTGTTGTTCGTAGAGGGAGATAGTATCGTAGAATAAGGAGAACGACGAGGGATATGACAACTAAAGCGATGCACGAGAAGATGGCAGAGCCAACCGGCGACGAACTGCTTGTTATGTGTAACATTTCAAAGTGTCGAAGCGCATGGCGCACAAATTTGTAAGGATAAGGTTGAAGCGAAAGTCCAAGTTCTAAAGATGGATTGGTTTGATTGACTGAGGCTTGAGTGACATGCGATAGCCAGGGGTACACGGACCGTTCGGACTTAGCCTGCGGGTACGTACTAGATTTATCTTACGTCATTTCCTCCACAAGGCACACGCACGTTTTGGCGTAGATTGGCCTGGAAATTTGGGCGTAAAATCTGACTAGTGTTGGTGGTCGCTTTTAATTGAATCGCGTAAAGACGCGTTTTGGTGGTCCCTTCACCTAGACAACGACAACCATTCACAACTCGAGCGCATCACGACTTGTTCCATCTTTTTCAGGACTATCGTTGCACCAGGTCGCATTGTGTTTCTGGTCGAGGATTTGCTATTAATTTCGACAGGAGCAAGCGTAACAATGGCAAACGTCGAAGAGTGTAAGTCTGGCCGCTGTCACAACTTGATTTGCCAATACTGACATTTATTAAAGGGCTTGCCAACGCCAATGAGGCGATTCATATCAGCCTGGTGTCTCCCTCCGAATCTGGCCTTCAGCATGTGGCGACATTCAACCCCCGACACACATACTCGATTTTTGGCGAAGAAGAACAGGTCTTTGGCTACAAAGATCTCAAGGTCAGCCTGCGGTTTCGCGCCAACGATATGCGACCGCACTTGAAGACATCCTACAGCAAGAAATTCAAGGCTGTTGGAGGACCCGAGCCTACAGATGTGGCAGCTATTCTCGAGGAAGGCAACCATTTGCCAAAGAGTATGTAACTCTTCCCTGAATGCGCAGCAATAGATCCTAACAGTACCCAGTCGCTTTTGCCAAGGCAACCGATTTCGAAGAGAGCTCCAAGCTAATGGGCGACAACTGGTCACCACCCGGCACCCTTCATGCGACCTTCGATAGTCCTGATGGCGAGTACGAAATCTGGCGCGGGAATCTCGCCGACCCAGCTATCAAGCAACTCAACAGCCGCCTGCAGATATTTGTTCCTCTATTCATCGAAGGCGGCACCTACATCGGCCAAGATCCTGAGATGGACTCAACAGAGCTTGACCTCTCTGATGCCGACCGATGGACATTCTTTGCCCTTTACCAGAAGCGAAAGGTGGCGGACAAGACCTCGTATGTGTTTGTAGGCTACTCAACCATCTACCGATTTTACTATTTCCAGCCGCCCACGCCCCCAGCATCGCCTCGAAGCGATGAGTGGGAGCTGCCAAATGGTGAGGTGGATCTCGGCGAGTTACCCTCCCGAACAAGACTATCTCAATTCGTTATTTTACCCCCTTTCCAAGGCAAGGGCAACGGAGCACGACTCTACAAGACCATCTTCGAGCACTACCATAAGATTCCACAGACCTACGAGTTCACTGTGGAGGACCCAAACGAAGCCTTCGATGACTTGCGAGATATTTGCGATTTGCAATTCCTCCGCACCAAGTCCGAGTTCAACGACCTGCGACTTGATACAGAAGTTACCATTCCTAGGAAGGGAACTCTTCCAAAACTGATTGTGGGCAGTGACAAGCTCGAAACTATTCGACTTGAGGCTAAGATTGCCCCTCGCCAATTTGGCCGAGTCCTAGAAATGCATCTCATGTCTCAACTTCCCAAATCAGTACGACCAACAATGGACATTGATGGAGACAAGCCAGAAGCCACACAAGACGAAAAGCACCAGGGAAAAGTCTGGAGTCTGATTGTCAAGCAGCGACTGTACCGCCACAACAAAGATGTCCTATCTCAAATCGAACCTCATGAGCGCGTCGACAAGCTTGATGACACTCTGCAGGGTGTCGGACTAGAGTATGCGCGTATCCTGGCTGCCTTGGAACGCTCAGAGAAGCATTCTCAAGGCCAATTAACAGCAAATGGCAAGCGAAAGCTGGATACAGAGGAAACTGAGCAGGATACCAGTAGCAAGAAAGCTCGCGTTGAGAACTCTTAGATGTCTATGTATTATAATTTTGTGAGGCTTAATCGAAGTAACGGATTAACTAGGCGTTGGGAACATAATGGACAGAGAAAAATGTATAATCTTGTGTATAAATCAAACCATTACACCTATATCCAGTCTACCTAACCTATGCTGTGCCATGCCATGCCATGCCATGCAAACAAACAAACAAACCAATTATCTTAACAAAAGTGAGAATAATTACCCCTGAAGGTATGCCGCAGGAACTGCCAAGTGCTATCAAGTTTAAGATAGAAGAAGATACTAGAATTTTGTCTTCTTTCCGGTCCCATCCCCTCGACCTGTTTGGACTCTGGTGTCGGTTCGCAGACTGATTCCAGTGATTGAAATTCCGAGACTACTTCAGGGTCTGAGATAGGCCGTGAACATGAATATGATTGTGGGCTGGACTTTTCGGGAAGTTCTGGCCGCATCGTGACCATGATCTATTCACTCATAGCGTGCACCAGGAAACCTGGTGCCATTCACACCGTCAGCCCCCTTTCCAATCTGACCGGCCACAACAGCGGCCTCACGTACAGCTCTTGAGACGGTGCCACGGACTCTGCCCTCCTCAAGAACCAAGACACCACCAATAGTGCAGCCACCGGATGTGCAAACCTTCTCCCGGAGAAGAGCGGGGTGCTCGCCATTCTGTACAAGACCAGCAGTGCCCCTCATAGACTGAGTAGCCATGCGCTGAGCATCAGCACGGGGAATGCCCATAGCAACAGCGCCGTCGATGGCAGCTTCTAGCACTAGGGCGAAGAAAGCAGGACCTGAAGCACACAGAGCTGTCGAGGCATCCATATGTCGAGTCGGAAGGTAGACAACGTCGCCAATGCGTCTGAAGATCCAGGTAACGAGGCTCTCGGTGGCATGGTCGAGGGGAGAATTAGGAGAAGCGATAACAGTCATCGATTCACGGATCACGGCAGCTGTGTTGCACATGGCCCGGACAATGCGGCATCGACCATCCTCCTCTGGGTCCTTAGAGGGTACAGCGCCGTGGAGAGCGATTTCGATGTCCTCTACTGTGATACCAGCACAGACGCTGATAAGAAGCTTGCCGTGCAGAGCTTTTGAAATGCCAGGCTCGCTAAGGATCTCTTTAACCATCCATGGCTTGCAAGTCAGCAGAACAACCTCAGCCTGCTGAACGGCACCAATGTTATCGTTGTGGACAACCTTGAGAATGGAGGAATGCTCCCAGAGAGCGCCCTTGACGCGCTTAGCGCCAGCGGCAGTAGCTACGCTGGCAACGAAGCGTGAAGGTAGTCGCTCAGGTACCTCATCGCCAGGAGTTGACGCTCCTGACCTGGGGAGGGACTGAAGGGGCTTAGGTCCTTGCATCTCAGCGAGTGAGTTTAAGATACCGCTGAGAATAGCAACGCCCATGGTTCCTTGGATTTGTTAGCAGATGAAAGCTGTGTGTTAAAGCACCCGCAGAAATACAAAACTCCGTCCTCGAGGAAACGACGATTTGCATCTGGTGCCAGGGGTATTTCTGTTGACTTACCACAACCAAGAACAGCCATTGTGAGGTCTGTACTGCCGTTTGAGCCATAAGGCGTGAGAGCCATTGTGTTGGGAGACATGATGTTTGCTGTAAAGAAAAAAAAAAAAAACCACTTGCTATTCAAAAGTTTTGTATGGAGGGGAAAACTTTGATATAGAGGAGAGGCTACCTGAGTCAAGGACGGGGCCTAAGTGGTTTGCTTGGTGGAGGAAGCAATGGGGAAAAACGGGATTGAAAATAGGTAAGATAACTACAAAGCTGGGGAAATGGAGGAAGAGAGCATATTTATATATAGGAAAATTCCACTTATAAACAAATGCTACCTGTTTACTGAGAAGCAAATGCGCGCAAAATACTGAACTTTACCAGGTAACGTAAAGGAAAGTGCTTTTGCTGCCCAATGCGCATCCTGGCCACACAGTCAAGACGAAGCAAAAACGGAACACGTCGAAAATAAGGGGTAACTTTGAGATTCACGCACGTTGATGTTTCTATACACAAACTCTCCAAACGGGTGCTATTCACCGAGAAAAGAGACGAAGCAAATTGCAGACAGGCAAAGTCTCACCATGTCAGGAGATGAAGGCCGTCAGTGCCCTCCCGTTGGGTTCCGACTTCTCCCAGACAAGCCCCGAAGCCTAGCTTGGACCGTGAAAGTGAACCCCTGTGAAGTGAGGTAATTCGTGAATCTGCCGCCCCTGAGCATGCTTCAGGGCTTCACCAGAAAACCTCACACGCGGCAGGCTTTCACCGGCACCCTCTTATGGTTAGACCCATGCGATACACCTTCGGCTTGTCCGGGCCGGGTCGATTCTTTTTGTGTGAAGGAGGGATGAAGTTGGAGACAAAGAAAAAGGAAAAAATGACACCCAAAGCATTGACTGATATTGCGGGACGGTGAGACCTGGTTATTCCCGCTCGCTCTCAAAGTCTCAAATTCGCTCACCGCAGCACAGCCACAACGTGGCACAGCTCTTTTCCCTTGTAGACCCACTATCAACCTCCCATCAACAAATTATCTGGGCTTCTCACCTACCACCCAATCCAGCTAAACCATCTACATACTGTAACTAACTACCTTACCTTATACCAAAGCTTTTGGGTGCCCTTTCTTGTGGGCTTTGGCTGTGAGACTCTCAGGCCGTGGTTTGTTACTCAAGTCTTCCGACCTTCCGATAAATATCGCTTTGAGATATTCCATTTTGCACAGCCAACTCACAGCTTTCTCAACATGGCCGACCCATTTGAAGTGCGAATGCGCTTCACCTCACAGCTTCAACATCTCAACGCATCAGTTACATCTGCTCAGAAAGCCGCACAATATGCGCTAAGGTTCAGAGATATGGATGAGGACTTGCATTCGTGCATCCTTGAACAGCTTGAACGAGTAAGTGGGACCATTCATCTCAGTGAACTCACCACTGACACAAGGTAGCAGAACAATATGAACATACGTGCCAATATCATGTACTTTATCGAGCACTTCCTAGATATGGCGCAACGTGATGGGCACCCCGACTACATTCGAATGATGCAACGGGACATTATCCGTGTCGTCGATGCTGTCGCCCCGGATGATGGGTCGGGAGCTGCCAACGTCAAAGTGGTCCGAAAGGTGAGTTGATCCCCGCACCATGGCGCAACCCCAGATTGGTTCTAGAACCTGTGGCTCACATGCCGGTGCAGGTCTTGCAAGGTCTTCAAGGAAAAGGGTACTTGGAGTCGCAAGCAGTGAGCCAGATCGAAGATGTCATCAAAGAACGTGAGACAAATGTCGAAGACCTAGGTCTAGCCTCACCAAATGGAGACGTCGAGATGACAGACATGCCCCCTTCACAAACCATACCTAAGCCAGGCCGACGGAGCACATCACACCAGCTTGACAAACGTCAAATTGAGCAACGAATCGAGGAGGATCGTGAGCGCCACAAGCGTGAGCGCGAAAGCATTTGGGCAGTCCCCAAAGCCGAGAATGCTGAGATGAACAAACTGTGGGAGGAAACGAGTGACTTTGGAGAAGACGACGACCGTCTGCTCACCGAAGAGTTGGACGACTTTCAAAAAGAGATGGAGATACAGTCTAGTTGCCAGCATCATCATGGAGCAGCGAACGGCAACCGTCACTAAACGGAACTGAAACATCTTGCATTGTTATGGATATTTAACGGCGTTCGGTTCTGGGCTCGAATTGGGATTGAGAGAAAAGTATTGATACCCGTCGTTTTCGGCATGGCTGGCTAGAGTAGCGAGGTTTCATATCGACCCGCTGTGAGAATTGAGGTCGCATGTGAGTGAGCAATACACTTGTTCAATATGATATCATAATTAAAAAGAACCCATCACTGAATGAGCCTTTCTAAGGGTACATATTGTTAGATACTAGTACAGATGTTTTTACACATGCAATCCAGCCATCTATCGTGCCAAGTCGCCAGTCGTCGCGCCCCAGAGATGCAACCATTTTACTCCATTACCACAGTGGCGCCCAGCTCCTTCATGGCGGTGATAATCTTCTCAGCATCTTCCTTCGGGACGTTCTCCTTCATCATCTTGGGTGCACTCTCGACAAACTTCTTGCTATCCACCAAGCTCAGACCGAGCATGTTCTTGATCTCCTTGATAACCTTGGCCTTGGATGGGGCGTCGAATCCTTGCAACTTGAGGGTGAAGAGTGTCTTCTCGGCGGCAACGGGAGCAGCCTCCTCAGCTTCTTCGGCGGCGGCTGGGGCAGCAGCGGGAGCTGCAGCAGTGAAGCCGCCTATGGGCATATCGGGAATGTTGAGCTTAGTCTATTCAAAGATTCTAGTTAGCAATTATACGGGGACAAAATAACCCCTCCAAAGTTCAATTGAGGCCCAATTATTGTCCGCACTAACCTTGAGGCTTGAAACAAGGTCAGCAGTCTCCAAAAGAGTAAGCTGGCTGATCTGATCGACAATGGCTTCGATCTTAGGGTTGGCGGGAGCGGCATCGGTCGAGTTCCATCTCCTCGAGACGGCTGAGATACGGACGAACTGTGTGGGTGCCCGGGCAGCGCGAGCGGATCGGAGGTGGCGAGCACAGCTCTGGGCGGCGTACCGACAAGACATGGCCATTGTTGTGATTGCGGTTGGCTGGAGGTTGCTCAATTCGAAGAGTCGTCGCGTGCGGGCGTCTGAGGAAGCGTCTTGAAGTTTTTCGAGCTGTCTGGATGGTTTGGCGGGCTAGCGGCTGTGTCACGTGTATAATTGGGTCTATCACTTATATCGAACCATTGTATCCTAGAATTGAGGCATTCTATCCAGCTACAGACATCTTTGAAACTTATCTGGGTTGAGACATGGAAGAAGTGCCTAAAATCATCAAGTATATAAGTTGAAACAATATGATGTGGTTGTTGAAACGTTATTAATTGACCCAGCCTGGTAGGTAAAGGACTTTAGTATTCCGGTGAGGGATAGGCGAGATAGGTGTCTAGGCGAAAAGATCGATGGAATTATATTTCGATAAATTACCGCCAATCTCGCAAAGATGCAAAGCACATCTTCTCAGATACCAAGTCTTACTTATTGTAAACATAAGAGGAACAATTGACGTTCAGTCGGATTGATTAGAGAATGAAGTATAAATTCAATCCACATACGCCAGGTTCAGAACTAAAGCAGATTAGCGTACTGACCTTTCAGTGGCTGATAAGATAACGAAAAAAAAGTTCAAGAGAGCAGTTCTCAGGTTTAGCTTGGAAGCACCACCATCGACAGCCGAAATTTCGTCAACGGAGAGCGCAATCATGGCAATGATTGATGTCTCGCGGCAGAGGAGGTCGCTCCTTGCGGATGCGATCGTATTGGAACACCTGCCAGCAGAAATACTGGACATTATCCAAGACCAGTCCTCAACGAAACTGCTAGATGCTGTTGCAGAGGCGGCTCTTTGCCCGCCACTTACAGAGCGTGTCTTTGCGCATTTCGAGCATGTCTTTCCAGACATTTGTGCTCGATGGATTCTCAACCCCGGAAATGGACAACAGCGCATACGAATATACTCAGCATTAGCCCGAATTCTACCTTTTGCTCCCTACCTTTCAACATTTATTGAATACGCCTCTTCTACTCCCGAACAAACGACAAACTCACCCTCTCTCCGACTCCCACCCTTACGACTAGACCAAGATGCCATGACGCAGGATGGAGAGATTCTCTTACAGAGCCTCCTTGTTGCTTGGAGGTTGATCAGTTTCGATTCGCGCAATTTCGGCCCATTGACATCTGCTGCCTTGATGCAGACCTTGTTTAAGCATGAAAGCAGAGCTGTGCGTTATCTTGCGACTCGAATTTTTATCCAACTCCTCCATGGGTCCGATTGGAAGCTTGAATCTCTTATCCAGGAACATATTGGCAAGAGTGAGGCTATCCTCGCAGACTTTGACGGCCGATCGATTGACTATGGATTCCTTTCGCTGTACGAACAGTCTCGAGTGAAGTCTTTCCTGGGACTGCGCGAAGAAATACAGGCTGCCCACGAGGCCGCAAGAGATGATTCTCCATGCGCGCAGACCCTCACTCCTTACGTTGTCTGTTATGGCAATGTCATCCTGCCCAGACCCCTAGGCCCAACCGGAGAACCCTCGAATCTTGTGCTCACCCCCACGACCGTCTCCAATTTGGAACGATTAGCGACTATGCTCCGTGAATCTGACCCAGTAATGTTATATGGTCTTCCTGGTGTTGGAAAGACGGCCCTAGTTCACGAAATAGCCAAACAACTCGGCATGTACTCTAACATGGTCACATTGCACCTCAATGAACAAACGGACGCGAAAATGCTTATTGGACTATACTCGACAGATTCGAAGCCCGGTAGTTTTCAATGGCGACCTGGCGTGTTGACAACAGCCGTGAGGGAAGGTCGATGGGTGTTGGTGGAAGACCTTGACCGAGCGCCGACTGAGGTCCTGAGCACGCTGCTCCCCCTGATTGAACGAAAGGAACTCCTCATCCCAAGCCGAGGCGAAAGAATACGAGCAGCCAGCACTTTCCGACTTTTTGCAACTGTGCGAACGTCTCGGGGAATGAATGGCCGGGAGAATTTGCCAAGCCTGGTTGGCATTCGTTTCTGGCAAACTCTGAGTACTCAGGCCCTCGCAGCGTCTGAGCTCGAGGATGTCGTGGCTCAGACGTATCCCATCTTGCGAAAGTTTATTCCCAGCATTTTGGCAGTGTATGCTCGCTTGTGTCGTCTTGGCTCCACGCCTGGCGCTTTGGCTCGAGGCCGGAATATTATGGACCGTCAAGTGACATTGCGAGATCTTCTCAAATGGTGCCGAAGGTTGCGTGAATGCCTTGTCGCCGCTGGGTCAAAGACGGGAGAAGAGCCAATCACCAAGACAACAAGCGATCAGATGTTTTTGGAAGCGGTCGATTGCTTTGTTGGAAGCTGTCCTGATGCTGAAATTGGCAAACAGCTCATTGTTGCGATCGCTGAGGAGATGCAATTACCCAAGGAATTGGCAGAGCACTACTTCACTACACACATACCCAATTTGAACGAGAGTGATAACCAGTTCAGCATTGGGCGCGCTGTGTTACGGAAGAAGAAACAATCAAACCGAGTTCAGAAATCCAAACGACCCTTTGCTAGCACAGCCCACGCCAAGAAGCTGTTGGAACAGATCGCCGTGGCTGTCAAGCTAAATGAGCCTGTCCTTCTTGTGGGAGAAACTGGTATCGGCAAAACGACTGTTGTACAGCAACTGGCTGAGTCTTTGGGCCATAAGCTTGTTGCTGTCAACTTGTCCCAGCAGAGTGAAGTCGGCGATCTTCTGGGTGGCTTCAAGCCAGTCAATACCCGGACGTTGGCGATGCCCCTGAAGGAAGAGTTTGAAGATCTTTTCTCGGCAACGGGTATTTCAGCGTCAAAGAATCAGAAGTATCTCGAACAAGTTGGCAAGTGTTTTGCCAAGGGGCAGTGGTCAAGGGTGTCAAAGCTGTGGAAGGAAGCTCCTAAAATGTTCAACAAGATCGTCAAAGAGCTCGAAAGAGTTCAAACTGAACAAGCAGAGACCAGGAATGGCGACGAGCAGCCCACAAAACGTCGAAAAACCCAGTCGAAGCTCCAAACCCTACTCGATCTACGTCCAAGATGGGATATGTTTGCTCGTAATCTTGAGCAGTTTGACGTACAGATCTCTGGGGGTTCTGGCAGCTTTGCTTTCTCTTTCATGGAGGGAAATTTAGTCAAGGCTGTGCGTAACGGTGATTGGGTTCTTCTTGATGAGATAAACCTCGCCTCGCCTGACACGCTTGAGAGTATCGCGGATCTTCTGACCGGACCAGACGAAAGGCCATCAATTTTACTGTCCGAAACTGGCGAAATTGAGAAAATTGAAGCACACCCAAACTTCCGCATTTTCGGTGCGATGAATCCTGCAACCGATATTGGGAAACGTGACCTCCCAGTTGGCATTCGCTCCAGATTTACTGAGGTCTATGTTTCCAGTCCTGATAAAGACCTTAAGGACCTTCTTACAATTATCAAGACGTATCTGGGAAGCAGCAGCAGCAAGAATGATCAAGCGGCAGATGATATTGCTCGTTTGTATATTAACACCAAGCGACTAGCTGAGGAGAAACGGTTAGTCGATGGAGCGAACGAGGTACCTCATTTCAGTCTTCGAACCCTCACACGAGTTCTTAGCTATGTGAACACCATCGCCCCCTACTATGGTGTCCGAAGAGCTTTGTATGAGGGTTTCTCGATGGGCTTCCTTACCCTCCTTGACCGAGAGTCTGAAAAGATGCTTGTTCCCCTAATATCCCACCACCTTTTCGAGAAACATGGAAACCCACAGTCCTTACTTTCCCAGGCCCCCAAACACCCTAATGATGGAAAGCAATATGTGCGGTTCAAGAATAAGAACCGAGACCGACAATATTGGCTGTTCCAAGGCAGCGAAACCCCTATTGAGCGGGAAGACTATATCATTACCCCTTACGTTGAACGCAACCTCCTGAACCTTGTCCGAGCCACTTCTACAAGACGCTTCCCCATCCTGATTCAGGGCCCTACTTCTGCCGGAAAGACGAGTATGATTGAGTACCTTGCAAACTTCACTGGTAACAAGTTCGTGCGAATCAACAACCACGAACACACCGATCTTCAAGAATATCTGGGCACCTACATCTCAGGTTCTGATGGGAAGCTCCGTTTCCAAGAAGGTATTCTTGTTCAGGCAATGCGCCAAGGTCACTGGATCGTACTTGATGAGCTGAATTTAGCACCAACTGATGTCCTCGAGGCTCTGAATCGTCTTTTGGATGACAACCGCGAACTTCTGATCCCTGAAACACAAGAAATTGTCAAACCTCATGAGAATTTCATTCTGTTTGCTACCCAAAACCCCCCCGGTCTTTACGGCGGAAGAAAAGTACTCTCAAGAGCGTTCCGTAATCGATTCTTGGAATTACACTTTGATGATATCCCTGAGGATGAGTTGGAGTTTATCCTTCAGCAACGAAGCCGCAACACCTCTCCTCCTGATTGTCGAAGAATTGTCAATGTCTATAAGGAACTCTCTAGGCTTCGCCAAACCAGCCGATTATTCGAACAGAAGGACAGTTTTGCAACACTTCGTGATTTGTTCCGCTGGGCATTGCGAGAGGCTGATACCCGCGAGGAGATTGCTGCTCATGGATTTATGCTATTGGCTGAGAGAGTCCGTAATGAAGAGGAGCGTATCGCGGTTAAGGAGGTTATTGAAAAGGTCTTCAAAGTGAAGATTGACCCCCAAGACCTGTATTCCGCTACAGTGGCCCCTGAACTGAAGCAGTTCACCAGCAAAACCAACAGTCAAGGTGTGGTATGGACGCATGCGATGCGCCGACTTTATGTTCTTGTCTCTCGAGCGTTGCAAAACAATGAACCCGTTCTTCTGGTTGGTGAGACAGGTTGTGGAAAGACGACAGTTGTTCAATTGCTTGCGGAGGCATTGAAGACACAGCTTCATATTGTCAACGCTCACCAGAATACCGAGACTGGTGATTTGATTGGTTCACAAAGACCTGTCCGTAATCGTGGAGCTATTGTCGAAGCTTTGGATGTCGATTTGAAGTCGGTTCTACAAAGCCTCGGATTGGATATCTCTGGCTCCGTAGAAGATCGTCTTGATCGATACAAAGCAATGGATCTGTCAGTCAGCAGCGCTATTCCCCAAGAGGTGAGAGAGCGTATCACTGCACATGAGACGCGAAGCAAGGCTCTATTCGAATGGGCGGACGGAAGCTTGGTTGAGGCCATGCGAGAAGGCCATTTCTTCCTCCTTGATGAGATTTCCTTGGCCGATGACTCGGTATTAGAGCGTCTGAACTCTGTACTCGAGCCTTCGAGGACACTTCTTCTGGCTGAGAAGGGAATTGACAACTCTTTTGTTGTTGGGGCGGATGGCTTCCAGTTTTTCGCTACTATGAATCCTGGTGGCGACTTCGGAAAGAAGGAACTGTCACCCGCGCTGCGAAACCGATTCACTGAGATCTGGGTTCCAGCTTTGTCCCAGACCGAGGATATCTATGAGATTGTTAAGACAAAGCTCAACGGTGACTCTAAGCAACTCGTTGAAATTGTGGTCAAATTCGCTGCTTGGTTCGGCGATACCTTCAGATCTATGGCTTCAGCACCATTCTCCGTCAGAGAAATTCTCGTCTGGGTACAATTTATTAACACCTTTCAGTCCAATGAGCCTATTGTTTCATTGGTCCATGGCGCCTCTACAATCTTTATTGACAGCATCGGCGCGAACCCTTCTGCTCTTCTAGCCACGGATCCCAAGTCTCTTGGTCAACAGCGACAGAAGTGTCTTGACAAACTGAGCGAACTCATCGGCAAGGACGTGTCTAGTATTTACGAAACTCACCCGGAGCTGTCCATGAATGATAGTTCTCTGACAATTGGGCACTTCAGCATCCCCCGTGCTTCCACAGGTGTCGCTGATCCAGGGTTCGCTTTCCATGCACCCACCACTCGTCTGAACGCTATGCGAGTCCTTCGAGCACTCCAAATGCAGAAACCAATTCTTCTCGAAGGTAGCCCTGGTGTGGGAAAGACAACTCTGGTTGCCGCCCTGTCTCAGGCTTGTGGACAGCCATTGACCAGAATTAACCTGTCTGACCAGACCGATTTGATGGATTTATTTGGTACAGACGTCCCAGTCGAAGGAGCCGAGGCTGGCAACTTTGCCTGGAGAGATGCGCCGTTCCTACAGGCTATGCAGAAGGGCGAATGGGTACTCTTGGACGAAATGAACCTTGCTTCTCAATCTGTTCTCGAAGGGTTGAACGCCTGTCTCGATCACCGAGGTGAAGTTTACATCTCCGAGTTGGACCAAGTCTTCAAACGTCATCCAGACTTCCGCTTGTTTGCAGCCCAAAACCCTCACCATCAAGGCGGTGGCCGAAAGGGATTGCCCGCCTCCTTTGTTAATCGTTTTATTGTTGTCTACGCCGATGTTTTCTCAGACGATGATATGAACTTGATCGCAGCACACAACTATCCCAAAATCTCTCCATCAGTGATTAGCCAACTCATCCAGTTTGTGTCCCAGCTGGATCACAAGCTTTCAGTTGAGAAGTCATTCGGAACACAAGGGAGCCCTTGGGAATTCAACTTGCGCGATGTGCTTCGCTGGTTAAAGCTTTTAGACTCGTCTGATCCTCTGCTTCACAACGCCTACGCTGATGATTTCCTCGATATCATTGTGCGACAGCGTTTCAGAACGGAGCGTGATCGTGAGGAGGTCAACAACCTCTTTACTCTTATCTCTGGGTCTTTGCCACGACAACATAGTTTGTATCATGATATCAACCCAACGTTCGGACAAGTCGGTTTGGCACTACTTGACAGACACCCTCATTCGCAGCCAGAACGACTTCCTAATATTGATGTCGTCCCTCGGCTGTCTGAGCTTGAGTCAATCATGATTTGCGTCAAACAGAATGTTCCCTGCATCTTGAGCAGTCCCTCAGGCTATGGCAAGTCTGTTCTTCTGGAACATGTTGCGGCTTTGGCAGGAAAGTCACTTGTGGTGTTCCCAATGAACGCTGACATTGATACTATGGATCTTGTCGGTGGCTTCGAACAGGCGGACCCTCTACGGGAGGTCAACGCGGCGCTTCGGGCCCTTCAGCAGGATCTTCAAAACTCTATCATGTCGGCCGTGCCTGAAGACATTCCCACCGAAGCCCTCCATCTACTTCATCTGCTCAATGGATTTACTGGCGATATCGATTCACTTCCCGCGATCACCACCTCTGTGGAACACCTACTTGACAATGTGCCTACGGACTCTGAGGTGGCAACCGCATTGTCAAGGGCTCTTATCCCCCTTCAGCATTCCTTAGTGCTAGAAAACCCCCGTTTCGAATGGCTGGATGGTGTTATCGTCAAGGCCCTACAGTTAGGTCAATGGTTGGTTCTCGATAACGCGAATATGTGCAACGCCTCAGTGCTGGATCGATTGAATTCTCTCCTCGAACCGAATGGATTTCTGAGTATCAATGAGCACTGCGGACCCGGTGGAGAGCCAAGAGTCGTCCACCCTCATCCAGACTTCAGGATCTTCTTGACAATGGACCCACGCTATGGCGAACTATCCCGCGCGATGAGAAACCGTGCTGTTGAAATTCACATTAACACACCACCACCAGCCCTTGACCCCTCTTACCACCGAGTTGTGAGTGTAGAGAGCAGCCTTCAAAGATACAACATGTCCCGCCAGATTTCCGACACTATTTCTAAGACTGGGGAATCTATCGAGGTCATTGAACGGGCTCTTGAGACACTCTCGATTACTGATGTGTCTGTTCTGCCTCGGTTTACAGCCACTCTACCCAGTTATGACACGCACAGCGGGGCATTCAGTTCTGCAGTGACCGAATTGCTCAGCTTCCTGAACTCAAGCAATGGGGCTGATGGTGTCAATGGCATTTCTCAATTATATAGCTCTTTGCCCATTCCCGAGGGACTCAAACCTGCGCAGCCATTGCATCCTCTAAACAACTTCCCAATTACCCACCTCTTATCTTCACCAGACCAAGCACGATGGCTTGGTGCATGCTTGGAGTTTTATTATGAACTCAATCATCTGCAGAATTCAATTGAGGACCAGCGATGTCAGGCTCAAGTCAATAAGTTGACTGCTCTCAACCGACTTCAAAGATCACTGATAAGTGACCGCGTCGCCGCTGTGTCCAAGGATGCCACTGTTAAGCTAGCATCTTTCTTGCTATCTACAATCAACATTGCAAAAGAATTTCTCGGCTTCAAATTCGAGTCTTTCGAAACATGGATGGAGCGAGTCCGCATTGTGAGGGGCATTGTGTGCTATCTCAAGAGGACCGTTCGTCTTGGTATTGAATCCGACTTTGACGAAGCAAAATTTCAAGCACACCTTGCTCAAGGTGCAAACTTCCTCCAAAAACATTTGGATGCATCAGTTGGGTCCCAAGAAAACGAATTTGTCTTTCTGCTCCTTGAGCGGCTGGGCAAAGACTTTACTGCTGGTTTCAAGTTATCGACCGGTCTAAGCATGGAGTTGCTTTGGCACATTTTCAGACCCACTCCTTTGCCTACAAAGATGATCCTGGATCGCACACTAGAACTCGAGAAACTAGGCTCAAGATTCGATACATTACGATGGAAGGCTGGAGCATCAATTCCAGATCTCACAAAGGCTATGGCTACACTGGAGAAGGCCTCCGGAATCCTCCGCGAGGACGCTCCTAATGTGGACAGTCTCCTCCAGGACCTTACTACTGAAATTCAGTCTCTGGAGGGTCGAATCGGGGTTGACGAGGTTGAACGTAAGCCTTTTATGATGGAAGAGTTTGAAGCACTCCGCCAGGTTTCAATGCTCAAACCCCTGCCGTCGGATGACACAGAGCTACAAGTGTTGTCCGATATACCCATACAGGCTGGAATGATGCTGGCCAGCTCTAATCTCCAAGCCGCGCTTCTTCAATCGGTGGAGAACTTGGTCTACCAGAACAAATTCGCTTGGGATGGCAAATTTGTCTCTTCTCTTTGGTCTAAGCTGCAAAATCTAGGATCCGTTAATCTAGGCTCCTTGGCTCTTCTTGAAGCCGAACTTCCAATCGCCGGTCGGCAGATCATGAAACTGAGTGCGGATGTGGTGGCAAACCCTCTGGCACGGCTCAACAATGTTCTGTCCCAGCTTCTCCTCGAAGTTTTCAACGCCCATGACCAGAGCCTCAGGCATGTGGTTATTGAAGCCACCCAGCTGGCTTCTCAAAACCTTGCCCACAGCTCTCTTGCTTTTGATGATCTGGCGTCCCGAATCGAGACAGACCACTTCCGCGAAATTGCAATCGAGCATCTCATCCCCGCCCTCAAGGCTCTCGCAACTCTACAACACGATATCCAACAGGAGGCCCAACTCTCAGCCTTTGCATGGATTCACTTCAGCATCGGAACCGTCAAGCTGTACGTTCCGGATCGCGTTTTTGATCCGCAGAGCCGACCCAAGATGGAGCGTGAATTCCTTCAAGAGATGCATGCTGTCCTCAACATGGAAACAGACTCACTGAGAGCATTCGAGAAGCTCTTTACTGGACAAGACACGAATGAACGCATTCGGTTACTTGAAGCAGAGTCTGCTGCCTTGGGTCCCCTTCCCGAAGAGGTCCGCCCTATTTACAGACCAGATCAATCGGAGTTAAACCGTCTCCATGCTGAGTTCTCAAACGTGCTAAAGGCGGTTACAGGTCCTACTTTGTCCGCTGCACTTCAAATTCTTGACAACGATCCGGTTCGAGCAACCGAGGAGTTGCAGCTTGTTAGAGAAAATGTCCTCAGACTCTTGGATCGACTTTCTGCTCGTTTCGAGGCATATCAAGACATGACCCGGCCTACATCAAACCTGCTTCGTTGCCTCATGATAGGGCTCTCCCTTTGCGATGCCGCCTCAGCTCGTGGCCTGGCACCTGCTTCCTACCAGCTCCTTGAGGTCACTCCTTTCCTAGGTGGCAGTATGTGGAATCAAAAGAATGGTGAATTCTCGTCCAGAACATTTGAGTTTCTTAACTACATGACAGTAGTTGCTAGCATTGAAGGCATCGGCAATATTGCACAACAAGCCCGCGAGATGGTCTTCAGAAGTTTCCACAGCTTGTTCGATGAGTGGACTAAGCGACTTGAAGCAGACCGCAAAGAACAAACCGCCAAAGGGAGCCTGTATCGCTTTCGGGGTTCTCTGGAAGATGAGGAGCAAGTTGATGTGGAGGAGTTCAATGAACTGTTCCCGACCTTCGACGATGACGAAGCCGCAAATGTCCCAACCAACAAGAAGCAGGATGAAGTACGGGATCAGTCGCTTCGAGTGGCCGAAATTCACAAGAGCCTCTTTCTCAACCCACCGCAATTTACTATGGCTTTAAAGGATGCCTGCAAATCTGTGGGAGACAGGATCACTTCAGAAACCATCGACCACAAGAACATTGACCGCAGTCTGACAAGCAAGATGTTGGCCGGAACCATGTTCTTCCTGAGCGACAAGCTTGATTCTCTCGCATCACCCACTGTGGACAAATCCTACAACTTCTACACAGATGCCAACGTTCCTGAGACCCGCCAGCTCGTTGCCCTCATGCACAAAATCAAGACTCGGTTCCGGGAGCTGCAAATGGTCGACGAGATCGGACATATGCAACCTTTGGCTGATGTCATTCATGCTTGCGATCAGGTCCTCGAACTTGTTCATACCGAACCTTTGGCCAAGATTCTTCCCAAGGTTGAATACCTCCACAGCCACGTATACGAGTGGCAATTTGGCGGCTGGGCCAGCAAAATATATGGTGTTCTTACTCTTCACAACCTGCTTACTGATACGGTCATCCGCTGGCGACGATTGGAACTCTCAACTTGGGCCAACCTCTTTGATATGGAACAGAAGAAGTGTCAAGATGATGCTTATTCTTGGTGGTTTGTCGCTTATCAAGTTGTTATCGCTGTGCCTCTGTCTTTGGTCGAGGTCCCCAACGAGTTGAAAGAGTATGCTTCTTCTCTCATCTCAAGTCTGGAGATGTACTTCTCGACAGCAATCGTTGGGCAATATGGAGCTCGACTGGCATTACTGCGTCAACTTCAGAGCCATCTCAAGCTATTGACTGAAGATTACCCAGTACTTCAACTTATTTTGCATGCGTTGTCCAACTTCATCCAGTACTATTCCCGCTACGAGAAGATTATGGATGAAACCATCCACAAAGGACGCCTTCCCATTGAGAAGAAGATGAAGGACGTACTGCTAATGGCTAGCTGGAAAGACACAAATATCAATGCTCTTCGGGAAAGTGCTCGCAAGTCTCACCAGAAACTTTTCCGAATCATTAGAAAGTTTCGCGGTGTTCTTGGTCAGGAGGCAAAGCAAATTATTGAACAAGGGCTGCCTGATCAAGACGTGCACCACACAAATTACGTTGGAGATAAACTCCCCATTACGGATGTTTCTGCGGACGTCTTTTCTAAGCTTAACAACACTCTGCCAGGGTGGATCAATGGCCACAAGCGACTTGCCAACGTCTCTAAAACTGTCTCTGTCATGCGAAAGATCTCAGATAGTTCAGAAATGATCAGCCAGGTACCTCAAATCGTTGATGACTACGTCTCTAGCTTGAGCGAGTCAATGACAGAACTTCGCAAAGAGACACCGCCATTTTTGACCGATGAGAACAAGGACCAAGTCAAGCACTTGAAGACGAGAAAAAGGAAACTGTTTGCTGATACGTTGCGGGATCTTCGGCAAATGGGTTTCAAGCACAACCTAGGACAGGACAAGCTTGCTGAGCAGTCATCGCTATCAGTTGTGTTATCGTCAATGCAGCCTGTGCAGCTTCCTTCGAACAATTTTGCCGAAGCGATGGACTATCACTTGCACAAGATCCTCGATCTAGCCCCCAAGGTCAGGGCTGCTTCTCGAGATCATTCTGAGGATCTTACCAGTGCCGAGGTTGCGCGAAGTGCTGGATTTGTTGAAGGAATGCTCAATCTTTTGCTGACTCAAAGAGATTCGATCACATCTGGCGCCTCCTCTTTATCACTTCTTGAACGATCCACAGCGCAATTCAACCGCCTTGGACTTTCTCATGAGCATGGACTTCTCATTCGTGGGACAGTAGTCTCCGACTGGACACGCCTTGTCCCTTGGCTCGTTCAAATTCTCCAGTGTGCCATTCATTTGGTTGGAATCCATGAGAAGTTGGGAGAAATGAAGCACACTGTGGTTGTAGAACAGCTGAAGTCGTGGCATGGGCGGTTCGAGTCTCTCCAAACTTTGACTGTAGGGCTCGGTCAACTTCCAGAGGGTCTGTCTTCCGAAGCAGCTGCTCGTGCTGAGGCGAACTTTACGAGTGAACTGGCTAGTTTCCGTGCCAAGCTCGAAGAGTTAACCATGGAGCAGCCAGAGCTCTCCTTTATTCTCGTGCAGGTTGTTGGTTGGACCAAGATCACCAAGGAAGTCGCACCCAGCTTTACATCCGAGGACGTGGAGATAACCACTTTTGTAAATGCTGTCTCGACACTTTGTGACAAAATCCTAGTCGCGATCGAGAGCGTGAAAAAGGCGGCGAAGGAAATCAATCACAAAGAGGACGAACCTGCTTGGCTCACCACTCACGCCGACGGCTTCGTGAACCTCTTTACCAAACTCCGTACTGCCGAGATCGAGAGGAGTGTGACCAGCTGTATCAATATGTTGAAGCAGATTCATCTGGAAGACCAGGATCTCAGTCAGGCGGCCATGAGTCTCATGACTATCGCATGTCCTCTCCTGAACGAGTATGTTGATCTCGCTCAGCAGACCTTGATGCAAGTTGTCGACATCCACAGCGCCGTAGCACATATGTCTTATAATATGACCAAGACGTTCACTCAAATCTCCTCTCAAGGGTTTTGTACACCACAAGAAAAGTCTGATGAAACCTCTGGCGAATCTGGCAAAGTGGAATCCGGAACTGGTCTTGGTGATGGCGAAGGTGCCGAAGACATTAGCAAGGACATCCAGCCTGATGAGGACCTGTCCGAGCTTGCCCAAGAAGCCAACAAGGAGGAGAATGGCGAATTGGAAGACGAAAAAGACGCTGTGGACATGGCCGATGAGGAGCTTGAAGGAGACATGGGCAGCGTCGATGGGGCCGATGATGACGAGGAGGGGTCGAAGAACGGAGATGAAGAAGAGGAGGAGAACGATATGGACGAAGAAGCTGGAGAGGTCGATGACCTGGATCCCACTGCCGTTGACGAGAAGATGTGGGATGGAGACGACGAAGAAAAGGCTGACAAAGACCAGCAGGGTGAGAAGGCCAAGGGGCAGAAGAAGGACGATGAGCAGATGGCGGTAGATGAAGATGCAAAGAAACAAGAGGGCGAGGAGCAGCCAGATGTTGACGACTCTGGTGAACAAGATGCAGAGGAAGAGGAAGCCGATGCTGAAGAAGAGGATGTCAAAACCCAGGAGGAGATGAATAAGCAAGACCAAACCGCCCAAGAGAATGATACACTGGCGCTTCCTGAGGATATGGAGTTGGATCTTGACGACGATCATGAGTCGGCGTCAGATAGCGATGACTTGGATGGTCTTTCGGATATCGAAGAAGAGAAGAAGGAGGGAGAGGACCAGGGGATGGGTGATGACAAGGAGGATGAATCAGATGACGCTGCGGCCCAAGCCCAGCTTCAAGAAGAGGCCGGAGAAGAGGCCGAAATCGAGGAAGATGAAGAGATGCCAGAAGAAAAGGCCGGTGGCAAGGATGAAGTCGACGAGGAGGCTAAACCTGAGGAAGATGAAAAGGACCAAGACCAGGAGGATGCTACAGATCAAAATCAGCCGCCTCAAGACAACGCTACAGCTGATACCGACAACGCTGCACCAAGCGATGTTAAGAGTTCCGGCCAGGATCAGAATGCTGACTCGATGGATGTCGATGATAACTTCCAGAGCAACGCTGCCCAGCAGGAGGATGGCGAGATGGGAGAGGGAGCCGCGGATCAAGACACGAGCGCAGGAAACAAGGGGTCAACTTCGCAGTCAAAGGAAATAATGGATAGGGCCGAACAGGAACAGGAAAAGGCGGACTCGGCACGCAGCGATCCTTTCAAGAAGCTCGGCGATGCACTTGAACGCTGGCACCGACAGCAGGAAGACATCAAGGACGCTGAGCCTTCAGATGCCAATGAACAAGACGCACCACAAGACCCAAGCGCCGATCAAGGCCGTAAGGAATTCCAGCACCTACAGGACGATGAGACTGCTACAGACACCCAAGCCATGGGAACCGCGGATGATGAGCAAGTACAGCCCATCGACGAGTCCATGGCTATCGATGAGGACAAGCAAGATCCCACAAGCCGCCTGATGGACGATGATAAAGAAGAGACTGAACAGGACCCTGATAAGATGGACACTGCTGACTCGGCGGAGGCGCCGGATGCCAGCAAGCAAGATGCAGACAATGACCAGGACGACACGCGCTCAGGGGTCAAGACACGCCAAGGCAACTATGACCGTCCGCTCAGCCCTTCAGATCAGGAGGCGCAACTGGATGAACAGGATGATGAGGTCGAAATTCATGAGACATCGACTCAACTCTCTTCAACTCACATCTCGGATGAAGAACGACCACTCCGAGATTTTGGCGAGTCGATGCAGCAGTGGACTGAATTCCAGACCAAAACACATTCGCTCTCTCTGGCTCTGACATCCCAGCTCCGACTTATCCTTACCCCTTCACAATCAACCAAACTCTCGGGAGCTTTCCGTACAGGAAAAAGACTCAACATCAAGCGCATCATCCCTTACATTGCATCGAGCTACAAGCGGGACAAGATCTGGATGCGACGCAGCATCCCGACCAAACGAACCTACCAGATAATGCTTTGTGTGGATGACAGTAAGAGTATGGGCGAAACATCGTCAGGTACTCTGGCAATGGAGTCTCTTGTCATGGTATCACGATCTCTTACCATGCTGGAAGCTGGCCAAGTTGGTGTCATGGGCTTCGGAAGCGATGTTTTCACAGCCCATGGCTTAACCGAGCCTTTTGCTGCAGATGCTGGAGCCAAGGTGTTGCAGAAGTTCAACTTCTCTCAAGATCGTACCGATATTGCACTCCTCATCCAACGAACCATTGAAACGTTTAGACTTGCACGGCAACAGGGCAGCGGCAACTCGGATCTCTGGCAATTGGCATTGATTCTCTCCGACGGTCTTACACCTTCATCAGCCCACGAGGGTATCCGCCGAATGCTGCGAGAGGCAATGGAGGAGCGCATTATGATTGTGTTTATTATCATGGATGATACGGGCAAGAAGAAGGGTGACAGCGTACTTGAACTGAAGGAAGCTAAGTTTGTTCGGGACGGTGGAGAGAGCAAAGTGGTGATTGAGAGATATTTGGACACGTTCCCATTCCAGTACTACCTGATCGTTCATCATCTTGAGGAGCTGCCGAGCGCCCTTGCTGGCCTCTTGCGAACATGGTTCGCCGAAGTCAATGCCTAGGGGAAAGGGGTTTTCTTTGTGCAGGACAGAGGATGGTGATAGAATGGTTGCATATACTGGCGTTTACGGGGCAATCTGATACAGTAATAATTCTCCATAGAACAGGGGCAGGCATTATTTAGACTGTGGACAAAGTTACTTCACTTTAGAGATGTTAACTTGGTTCAATTATTCAGACAAGTCGTTTATTGCTTAACATGGATTGTGAATGCATCTGACAAGAGACAATTGACATCATCCTCAATGACTCTCCATAGCATTGGGACCTCCATGTGGATGGACGCCACTGTGCACTAGTTTCTCAGGTAGGGTTCAGCGGGTCAGACTGCTAACTAATGCAACAGCAGTCGATCCTCCCCCCACTGCCGTTCCCCCGCGCTGCGGCTAACTTCTATCCCGTCCATCACCTCAGTCACCTCAGTCACCTCTTCTAACTCAACCACCTCCAAATGTCTCAGATGTCGAATTTTTTAGAATTGAGGTCATAACCATACCTAAGCTAGAGTTGTACTTCTTCTTCTTTTCCATTTATTATATTGGTGAAGCCTCCGATCTTAGCCTTGCGATCTCGTTATGCAAGTTCTCTCAACTGTCATTGCTCGACGTGGGTTATCTCGGTTGGCTATAGGTTCGCGGGCTGCGGCGGCAAGTATCAATAATTCAGCGACATCTAGATTGGTTAGCACATCTGTAGAAGGCAATATTGCGACTCGTTCTGCTCCTGGCTCTACGTTACACCAGATTCGCGCCATGTCTTCACCGGCGCAGAATGAGCTGCGGTTTAGTAAGTATCATGATTCAACATGGACCACCTACTCAAGGAAGAGAGTTGCTGACTTGCGGTGATTAGAGAACCCAAGAATTTTGTATGTATCATTACTATCGACTGATAGAAACACCCAATTAAGAGGGATATAGCGTTTGTGATATCCAAGAAAAGTTTCGCCATGTCATTCACGAATTCGATAGCATGTATGGCGATCCAGCTTCATCAACACCACCCAGCTAATAAACTTCAGCGTCCTCACCACCCAAAAGCTCCTCAAATTCGCAAACACTCTCTCCGTTCCCGTCGTAACCACAACCCAAACCTCAGCCAAGCTTGGTCCCACAGTTTCAGCTCTCGCGCAGCTCCTCCCCTCGACACCACACGACAAGACACGTTTCTCCATGTCCATTCCCTCCATCACCGCCGATTTACCCCAGGGCTCCGAAATCGCTCTTGTTGGTATTGAGTCGCATATTTGCATCACCCAGACAGCGCTCGATTTGCGCGACGCAGGGCATAAGGTGTATGTTATCGCTGATGGAGTGTCGAGCTGTAATCCTCGCGAAGTGGACATTGCCCTCGATCGATTGCGCGCCGAGCCCGGAATCACAGTCACGTCGAGCGAGAGTTGGATGTATGAATGCGTGGGAGATTCGCAACATCCTGCTTTCAAGGGATTGATTGGCGTTGTCAAGGAGTCAATTGCAGACACCAGAAAGGTTTGGCAAGCCTTGCCCCCTGGGTCCAAGATCTAGGCGCAGTGACATACATATTTCATGATAGGTTAGACATACATTTGCATAGTACAAACATCATTGCTGTCAATTTGTCTTCTTTTCTTTTATAGCAAAGCATCGAATCGTCCTTGCCCCTATTTGTTTTTACCTTCTGTTCGTTTCGTTACATCGAGCCACGGTATTATCAATCCTATTTGTGAACCCCGAATGGGTCATTGCGATCTTGCAATTCTTCGAGTCTACCCATTTATAGTCTCCATGGACTAGATAGTGATCTTCAAGGGACCTGAAAGTCTACAAAGACGACAAAGAAAGGAGTGGCTACTGACAGCACATCAAAAACCCATTACTCTGAGCCCGCGGTTGTTTTGGGTTTGGACGTTGGTGTCATCCATGAGAACGCTGAAGCAACCCCGACAGGGTTGGCAGATCTAGGTAGGGAATTGTTGTTATTGGCGTTGGCGTTGGCGTTGCGACCATCACGACTTGGAGGTGGAAGCGACTGTGACTGTGATTGCGCTTTGTGTTCGCTGCTCATACTCACCGCACGCTTGGCCTCCCATCTATTGGCAGGAGTGCCACCGTTCTCCCCAACGCTGACTTGACTCTTGCGTCGACCATCTCCGGGGCCTTTGGACGAAGAGGCATCATACGAAGAAACTGTCCTCGAGGCCGATTTCTGAGGCTTCAGAACCTTCATGTTGCGACCCCGACCGGCAGGTTGATATCCACTCAATGAACCATCTCTGTGCGGGCCGTCCATTCCATTCCCTGATCCATGACGCCATGATCCCCAAATGCCCGAAAGGGGTTCTCGCCTGGAGGTCTCGGCGGCAGAATGCTCAGCAACACGGTCCTTAGTACCTGGATGGTCTCCGTTGGTGAGTCCACGAGACCTTCTCTCGCTCTCCGCACCAGACACGCTGCCTCTGGAGCTGGGTCGCTTGTTCAGAACCGCCTCGTTTGCCATGGGCGACATTTCGCTTCGAGACTCATAATCCTGCTGAGGAGCCTCCATGTCAGGGATACTTTCCTGGCTAGCCTGGCTGAAATCTCCAGAGACGAAAGGAGCAGCGTTTGCATTTAACTTGGGCTTCTCGGGGACCATGTTGGTGGTGCAAATATTCCGGAACACGTTTTCATCCTCTGGTCGGACAAAGGGGACCTGAAGTCGCTCTCGCTCGTCGCCACGAAGGGTCATGGTGTTCTGGGAAAAGAGGATATCTGCAGAATGAGCTCTGAGAGCATCGCTACCCAAGTAGATACGAATGGCTTTGCGATCCATGGCCTGAACAGGCTGCTCTGTCACTCCAAGAACCTCGAAGAAGACAGTGATTGAAGGGACCGGCCCATGAGGGCTACTAGAGCGACTGCCGTGATGTGTCACAACAGCCTCTGCGAAGTAGACATTCAACCTAACGCGATATGCTCCGTCAACCTCGCGTTGGATCTGATCTACAAGATCCAACTCTCTGAGTAGAGAATACTCAACAGTGGACTTTTGCGAGCCACTGCAAACGTCGGCATAGAGGAGTGTTGAGTGGCCAAAGTTAGGAGTCAACCAACATCGAACGATCGAAGGGACTGTACCGAGGACATAAAATGCCGCAGGGGGGCCAGGAATGTCGAATGAATCATCGTCATCGTCGCCAACAGCAAAGTTGTTATCAAGGCCTAAGCTGCTAGCCCGACCAGAAGCAACGGAGTGGTGAGAGTGCACTGAATGTCCAGCAGAACTATGTCGTCCATCTGACTTGTGAGATAATGAGCGCTCCATCATAAGACCACTTCCAGGACGAACAGGGCCAAAATCTCCCGAGTGACGATTACTTGGCCCCCCCCAACTGGATCCGTGCAGGGCGCTTTCGTCGAATCGAACACTATTAGCCCGTGAAGCAGCCCCTCGGCGAACCGGTTCCTCCTCTGCTGGTCCAAGATGAAGAGATCCCAGAAGCTCCTCGCCTTGCTCATCCAAGTCGTCAAACATGTCATTGTGTAGGATAGAAACAGGTCCTAGAACTTATAAGGAATTGGTCAAAATGTTAACAGGCAGAGAACTCACCTGTTTGAGGTGTGCCACTCAAGACACCTGGAAATGGAGAGTTCCAGACAGACTTTAACGCGGCATCATCCGCCTGTTTCTTTTCCAATCGAAGAAGCCGTTCAGCATGATTGCTCTGAGTATATTGTACTTGCTTCACTTCCATCTGCAGACTGTACAGATCTTCGCGAGAAACTGGGAATCTGGGATCCATCCCCTGAGCAGGTCTGACTAGACAAAGGCGCTAATTCTGAGGATAGAGAAAGCCGATTGACTGCAGTTCGCGGGTAGGTGATTCGACTAACAAGGATAGGGAGAGGGAAATCGAGAGACGAGGGGGGGTTGGAGGCGCTAGTAGGCAAGGGCAGAACAAACAATAACTTCAATCGTACAGCATGAGCTTTGATCCAGCACAACTTCTTTCGTCAATGAAAACAATTGGTACTTCCGACCTCGATCCCCAGTTAAGATTTAGTTCACGAGGTCCTCCCTCCCCGCCGCATCGCCTAGTGTAGACCTCAGGGCCCTCGACAAGCAGAGTGCGATCTCAAGAATCGCCGGGTCGTGGTGAGTAGTGGTCTCAAGTAGAGCGACTGGCAAGTAGCTTGGCGTTTGTTTGATAGTGAAGTACCGATTGGAAAGGCGCCAGCTGGAGAGTATGCGACTTAGAATCGTGATAGTTGTGGACGTGACGATCGGCGAGGCGTGCTCGTTTATTGACGAGTGTTGCGAGGCAAGCTACTGATGGGAGAAATTATCGTATTTGGAGAGGGTTAAGAATATAGGCGTCACACTTGACGGGAGATGGAAAAGAGAGAAATTGACAAGATTTGACGCAGGTCGATCCTGATATGAACGATAGGGGTCGGAGTTAGGTGTAAATGGATGGCGCAAAGCGGGCAAGAGGTTGAAAGCAGCTGGAATCTTGGGGGGGGGGGGGTTTACGGAGGGGTAAGGGTCGATATCGTGTATTCGTAAGTTTGAAGAGAATCGTGGAGGCGTATTCGAGGTCGTAGAGGCACGTCAGGAGTTGAAAACAGGGCGAGTCATCAAAGGGTGAAGTTCTAAATAGCGTTCAAATGGAACTGTTGTGGATTGAATTCGAGAAACGGAGAGACTTGAGGTCTGGGTACGTAGTCGAGACAAAGGTGGGCGCGCTAACGTGGCGGTTCTTCTAGCGCCTGTGGCGTGTTGAAGTAACCCACTGTAAGCATTAAACGTCAGGGGGATTAGCCACTAAAGGGAATCAGATCGAAGGTTGCCTCGAACTGTCATGATACTGGGAGCTCCTTGCAACTGTTCATACTTAGATAGGTACCTTAGATTGTACCTACCTATTCAGATGACATAGCATGTACCAATTTGTTGAATGTCCAGCCAGGATTCTCACATCTCACACGAGTGACCCTCTGGAATGTAGCGCACATATATCTACAGCATACAACGCGTACATCTTGACATCGTATATTCAATCAGGACCTCTGATATCAAATGCCATAATCTGCATCCCGTCTAATCGCCAGTGTTCAGGTTGGGCTTGAGCTCGAGCAGCTCTCGCCAGTCAGGTATCACAAATCCCTTGCGATCATCGTCCGCGAGGCCATGCCACTCCTTGCCAATAAATGGCTTGAGGGTCTCATAGAATACTTGATAACCAGATCCGCTCATATGGAGACCGTCGTGAAGGAGAGTATCCAGGCCACCCTGCTTACCGTTCTCGGGGTCGCCTAGCCATGGTCCGCCAGGGGTGTAATGGTCAGGAGTAAGGGAGATGGCCTTGTCCATCTGGGCCTTCCAGAGGTCAACCAGAATAACCCCAGGGTTCTCTCGCGCGACCTCACGAGCCACTTCGGAGTAGGCAGCGCTAACAGCCGACTTGCGAACTGCTCCTTGGTGACCATTCTCTATGGATCGCGGGGTCGTCTTGATCTCATCCAGGGGAGGGGGGGTCACCAGCAGAATCTGGGGCTTGTGAGCGGCAATGCGCGGGTGGTTGACGATCTTTGTGAGGTTTTCCTTGTATCGGTCTATGGGAACATGCTGCTTGGTGATAGCACCAGGAAGCACAGCATCGTTTGCACCAAACAAGAGAACCTGTTCATATTTAGCCACATATTCTTCGCTTTATATGGGCGGTGACCGTACCAGATAGTCCATCTTAGGTGATGAGGCTGTACGCTCCGGGAAGATTTCAGGAAGATATCTCAGAGCGATGTCGGTGTTGAAGCCCGAGTACCCCCGGTTGACGATATCCAAACGTCGAATAAAATCTGAATGCAAGTCAGGTCGTTTCATCTGCGGTCACTTATGGTGGATTCTCACCAGACTGAAGAGCAGCTTGGAAAGAGAAACCGTCTTGGAGATCGGAGCATTGCTGGAACAAAGAGTCTCCGAAGAGAACAACCTGAGGAACTGTCGACTGTGATGTGTGAGCCTTTTCTGTTTGGCGTTGACTGTAAGTTGAGCGTTGCTTACAGCCATGTTGGGACGTTGTTAAAGTGTCCTGATTTCGATGAAGCTCTCGTCGTCAAGGAAAAACGTCAGATTTAAGTTCTATCAGATAGGGAGACTTGCGACCCTAACAGCCTCAATTGTGCGGTTAAATAGATTGGCAAGTCACCAGAAACCTGCGGCTTAAATGTTTGTTTCTAACGAGCTCTGTCCCACCCGTTTCTCTGCGCGCGTTGTGGGGGTTTCGAGCCAATAACGTATCTCTTCAAGTCGAACAAGTCATATTGGACTGAGCCATGCGTTATCGTTATTGTCTATGAACGAGATTTGGGAAGTATCAGCGAGTCGACTATACATATGTCAAAGCATGGTTTGCCTATTTATTATTTCTTCGACATGAGATTACTAACTAGTAGTACCTATTGGATGAGCCGCATAGGCAAAGTACTTCACAATTGCCACAAGATAGTCCAGCGAGATGCTGTAAAAGCTCAATCGGAAACATTAGGGAACTTTGTTATCTATA